TCTTTTTGTAGTTGCTTGTTTGTTGTTTTTCCCCTTGTCTGTATTCCCTCCCTTTGATTTGTTAGCCGCCCTGAGTCCCTCCGGGAATAGGGCGGAATATAAATGCAATCAAATCAAATTAAATCACACACACCACACAGCTTACTTCCAAGCTGAGTTTGGTATTTCCTCGGGGTGAGGGGGAGGCCAATGAAAAATGGCCTCTCCCGGACCTCTGGAAGGCCAAAAACCAGCTGGCCAGTGTGCGCATACACGCTGGAGGCTCACGTGCCAGCAGATATGAGTCAATGTGCCACCTGTGCCCTAGGTTCACCATCACAGCTCTAAGGTAATTCAAAAGTAATACAGATACTGTAGTCCTTGACTTACCTTAGTTTAGTTAGTGACAGTTCAAAGTTACAATGACATTGAATAAGTGACTTGTGACTTATGGTCGTTTTTTTCACACCCACATCATCCCCATGGTCACGTGATCAAAATTCAGACGCTTGGCCACTGACTCATATTTATGACGGTTGCTGTGTCCTAGAGTTACGTGATCCCCTTTTGCGACCTTCTGACAACCAACATCAATGAGGAAGCCAGATTCACTTAACAACTGGGTTATTAACTTAACAACTTCAGGGAGTCACTTAATCATATGGGGAGGAAAGGTCGTAAAATGGGACAAAACTCACTGAACAAATGCCTTGCTTAACAACAGAATTTTTGGGCTCCACTGCTGGTCGTAAGTCGAGGACTGCCTGTAGTCCAACAGCCCATCTTGTCACTGGTAAAATCAAAGGGACTAATTGGCCTCCAAGCCAACAACTGCCACACATCAGTGAAGCCTCACCGTTGCCAGGGGAAGAGCGTGCAGGCGTGGTCCTTCCTGGGACTCTCCAGGTGAGGGTAGCCCAGGTGCTCTGCTTTGAGAGGGCCTGAATGGTCTCCTTCCTAAAGGAAAACTCCTGCTTGGCTTCCTAAAATCTTCAACCCAGATGGAAGGGAAGGAATGCTATTACAGGTAATCCTCGACTTACAACCACAATTGAGCCCAAAGTTTCTCTTGTTGACCAAAACAGTTGTTTAGTGAGTTTTGGCCTATTTTATGATATTTCTTGCCACAGCTGTTAAGTGAATCACTACGGTTGTTAAATTAGTAACATGGTTGTTAGTGAATCTAGTTTTCCTCTATTGACTTTGCTGGTCAGAGGTTCGCAAAAGGGGACCACGTGATACCAGGACACGGCAACCGTCATAAGTCTGAATCAGTTCCCAAGTGTCTGAACTTTGATCATGTGACCATGGAGATGCTGCAATGGTTGTAAGGGTGAAAAATGGACATACGTCACTTTTTTTTCAGTGCCATTGCAACTTCACATGGTCACTAAGTGAACTGTTGTAAGTCAAAGACTACCTATATAAAGATTGCTATCTGCTTCCTGGGGGAGGAGCCTGTCGCCGAAGGAGCTCAACGGAGNCGAGCTGTTGAGCTACCAACCAGCCCCAAAGGCTGTGAATCTCACCAAAGATTAACCAAATAATAATAATAGCTACTTAATAAAGCAGTCTCTACAATTCTAAGAGATTTGTGGCCTGGTATTCAAAGCAAAGTGAAAAGCCAGTAATTTGCAACATTTACTTTTTTTAACAGCAAGATACTCGGCCGGTTCCTTTCAGCGGAAGCCCCGGTTATCTCCCTGGGTTACCGATAAAAGCCGGATTCAGATCCACTGGATATCCTTTTTTTTCCTCCACTATTTAAGCAAAACTCACTCTGGGGGCTGCAAGTGTCATAAGCGTGGAACAACAATCATCAGTCCCTTTTTCAGGGCCATTGTAGCTCCGAACCGTCACTAACTGAATCTTTGTAAGTCAAGGACTACCCCTAGCTGGCATTGTGGAGCTGGGCTCAGCCGGTGCTTTGAATCAGTTCCGCCCTCAGGTTTGCAAGCCACAACCTACGATGTGTGCATTGTGCAAATCCTTGTAATTGGGGCCGATGAATCCACGATGAAAGAAACCCCCCCTTAAGCCCAGCTGCTGCTGCGACAACAGAACCTGTGTTTTTCCTTCACTCGCTGCGTTCACCTCTGGGGTCATTCAGAGTCTGAACGAAAGAAGCCAGCTGACCATGATGAAAAGCACCCCAGTCCAGGATTGTTTCCGGGCAGAAGGGAGCCGAACCCCAGTACTGTTCGGGTACGATATGGTCTCCGGATGCAAAGTGAGGTAAGGAATAAGCTGCGCTACTCTTCGGACAAGTTGCCTCTCCTCTTTACCTGGGTGCTGGGAAGGCGGATCGGTGCGTCCATTGCAACGTTCTGACCCAGAACCTTCCTTAGAATGCAAGAAGCTGAGCCTTGACCCCTCCAAAACCTCTTTTATTTACACGACACTGAATTCCGGTAACGCTTAGTAATCAGTAGCTGCCAAATACTAGTTCCCAAAGGCAGGGCAAGGCGAAACCTGGCACAGAATGTCTTTACAGTCACAAACAGAACTTTCCACTCTTGACACGACCGAATGAACAGATTGTTTCCTCAAAAGCCCCCTCCCTGTATGGTTCCTCTTTTGTTTCTTCTGGGAGGGGCCAATCACCTCCAAGGTGTGGCTTTACTCCCAGGTCTACCCTGGTTTCTGAGTTGTTTCGTGTCTTCTGGCAGCTCTGGGCATGCGCACACTGGGAACAGGCTCCAGCTGTTCCTCCGCCTCACTGCTGTTTAGTTCCCCCTCTGCCTCCGACGCAGAGCCCTCGTCTTGAGCTTTCCTCAGCCCCCTCACCCTCCCCAGCCTCCTCACTGCTTGACTCTGCCCCTCGGCAGGCCACAACATGCAACAACCGTGGCACGACAAAACCGCGCTGGACTAAAGCGCGCCCGATTAAACCGCGTCGCTGACGTCATCA